CCTGGTAACGCTTTGGAATAGCAGGGCTAGCTATGCTAATACATGACACATGAGCCGACTGAAGCCATGTGAGATCTGATTCAACCCAGTGAACAGTAAAACCACCCACCAGAGAGAGAGAGAGAGAGAGAGGGAGAGAAAGAGGGGGATTGAAGAGTTTTAAACAAGGCCTTACCCACACGAACAATACAAGGAAGCCATTGTGTTTAGTGGAGACCCTCCTCTCTCTGCTAAGCTGATCTCCTCCTCACTTGGCCCAGCCCTTCTGAAGAAAAGGGAATCTCAGACATTGCAGATTTTGACCCGTAGTTGAGAGAAATGTGTGTTATGGAATGAGGCATAAGTCAGAAATATAACAGGTGCAGCTTTGGAAAAGTGCTGGTCAGGTCATTACATATTTATGGATTTCCATCTTAGTCCTGCAGACCCCAAAATCTGCTCATATTTTTCGGTTTTTCTCTCAAAGGGTAATCAAAGTTTCTGCATTGTTCAATTGTTGAGATGTAAGCAAACCTGTCGGAGTGGTTTTCTGTGAAATGGTTCATTGCGGAGTAAAGGCCGGCGCAGAACTGGTTTTCTAATCCTGCTGACACAAGCTTTCATCCCGCTCCCACCCGCAGGCCTGTATAGCTGGTTTCCATCTGTACTAACCACAAAGAAAATGACTGCCGTAGATCAGACTTGCCTTTAGTTGGCTTTATTGTTGTGTATTCTCCTCTCTTGAGAGCACTTTCCACAGCTGTGGCCACCAGACTGTCTGAAGGATCTGCCATTTCTGTAGCCTGCAAGACTGTGATTCATGCATTTCATGCATTACTATTTTATTTTGTCTATTCATTAATTTTGCGGATTTTCTCAACATGCATGTGATCTCCCACCCAAGATATTGTCCCGCAGGCCTTTATTGCAGCAAAATTTCCAGCTCTGATTTCTTCACAGTGGTGGTGATGGGAACCAGATGTCGCAACACAAATATAGACATTTTATTTACTATCCAACACCACTAGTGAACCTAAACAAGTCTTCTGAGCTTTTATATGTAATGTTGATGATGATAAAAAGCGATAAATCTGAAAAAATATGTTTTCTTTGCAAACTCTTTTGGCTCTGAAAGGTCAAAAACTACTTAAAAATTATATAATTATTATTATTAATAATTGTTATTATATAATTATTAATTATCATAAAACAGATTTCTTTGCGGACTGTATTGCTTTAAAACATCCTTCTTGTACTTTCTGCCATGAATGGATTCAAAAAATGGCAAAACCGTATCTCAAATCACTGTAAACCTATGTATCAAACCTATGTATCAATGCTGGTGACATCCCGTAAAAATTTAAATAACGCATGGCCACAACTTAGTAAGGCATGGGAATGAGATCCTAATGTGTGGCCACGACTTAGTAAGATGTGGGAACACAATCATGCCTTGCTAAGTCGTGGCCATGCTTTAGAATCTCATTCCCACACTTTACTATGTCATGGCCAGGACTTAATTGTCTCGTTCCCACGCCTTACTAAGTTGTGGCCATGCATTATTTTTGTTTATACAGGAAGTCACCAGCTGTATCCAGTATCAGGCCCAAAGCAATGCATTCCTAACCATATTGTGTAATAAACGTCTGGAACTTTTAGAGGCATTGAATGTTTCGGACGTCTGGTTCCTATCACCACCACTGTAAACAAATCTGCCTCAACAAGCTTCTCTAGACTAGAACATTTCATACCAAACTGCTCTGAATGACTTTGTTTATGTGTTCAGTGCAAACTGGTTGAATTGTTCTTAGGGTTATGGTTAACTTAAGTACATTTTGGCCGCCAAAAAAGCTCACTCACTTGAATTTGTTTTTATTACAATGGGAAAAGCTGGATTAAACAATACCCGCCTAGCAAATAAGTCCTGGCCCAGATCCGGAGTGATTCCGCCAGTTTTTCTGGCCCAGATCTGGCTGCTGGATCCGGCCCAGAATCAACATTGCTCACCAGGCCTTAAGTGGCCCAGATGCCTGCAGCCGAATGTGAGCTGACTATAGGCCATAACTGAGCCAGAACTTGCAGAGACACCGTCATTTCCCCCGTGTCTTTCCCAGAAGACTGCCAACAGTGCCATAAATCAGCCAAAAGACAACCAGAACTAGGCCAGATGAACGTAAAGCTTAATATGTAGATTAAGCTTGTGTTAAAATACAAATAACATTCATAATAATTACCAAATAAATTGAAGTCTCTTTTAAATTTGCATGCCAAGAGTGAATTAGTGAATGCCATCTACAAAAATGTAGATTACGTATAAAAAAACTTTTAAAGCCACAAAATATGAGTGTTGACCACTAGAATCAACAACAAGCATCCAGTTTATTCCATCACTGCCGTTGACGGCAAAAGCTGGGGACATTGGGCCTCATTCACCAACCAGACAAAATGTCTTCTTAAAACCCACTTACGCAGTTTTTATGAAGATTCTGACATTCACCAGTGTTCTCTTATACTGGTTTTGTTCTTAGGTAAGAACAGAATCTACACACTTAAGAGCACAAAGGTGAGAACAGTTCTGCGCTTTAAGAACACATCATGAATCTGACGTAGACTTTTTTAGGACCTTTCTCAAGAACACATTTAAGAAAAGTCCTAGGAAGATATTGGTGAATGAGGCCCATTGAACTCTTAATGGAACATTTCGCTGACCGCTGCGGTACGCCAGCAGAATTTTCCGTTGCTGGTCCATTGAAAGCAGCGTTCATTCATTTTGCTGCTGTCTGTCTGCTGCCAGAATTTAAATGCAGCAAAAGAGTTTTCTCTTAAAAAATCTAGCCTATAAAAATCTTACAAATGATGAGAGAATATAATCACATAATGGGTCTCAAAACTGACCGCCGATGATACATGAACATTTACTGAGACTAGATTCATTTCTTGAAGGTTACACGTGCAGTCAATGAACAAAAGAAGACATTTTTACCACCACGTGCATCGGTGGTGCAGTGGTAGAGTTCTCGCCTGCCACGCGGGAGACCCGGGTCCGATTCCCGGCCAATGCAACCGCTCGCTGGTTTTTAGGGGCAGTCGAGGGCTGGAGGTTAGGGAACCAACCTTGTGACCGGAAGGTCGCCAGTTCGATCCCCTTGGCTGACAGTATGTGACTGAAGGGCAAGGCACCCAAACCCCAGCTGCTCCCCGGGCGCCGTGGATAGGGCTGCCCACCGCAAAAAAAAAAAAGTAGCTCAGCATCGCCTAAATGTTCTGCTTTCCAGTGAGCAGTGACGTCAGTCTGAAGTCTAATCTGAACATCAGTCCAATGCCATTAATATTTTTTAGTAATCTACAAACACCAATATGAATCTCATATCATTGTACATCCCGAGCATTCGTGTCCAGGAGCAGTTCATTTACGAGCTCCATAGCCAGCTAACGTTAGCCGTTCACTGTACATTCACTGTTCTCACATTTTGCGTGACGTCACACTGTATAATCGCCGCTGTTTTGAGGACCGGATCAGGTAGTGACTGCTCTGTGCGATGCCTTCGATTTGCTGTGCTTGTGAATGTTTCTGATTGTGAATGACACCAGCAAACTTACAGAATCACGTCTGTCGAAACACGACGTCGTTTTCCGACCCACGACATTCAGTCTGATATTTAACGTTTATGTTTCTCCATTCAAACGTCATTTAAATCTCCAGAAACAGAGAGTGAAGTTAGACCGGCTGTCTGCAGCTCCGTTAGGGGGACGATTGTTCATCTCTCGGCTGTTAACATCAGCTAAAGTGATCTAAAGGCCAGCATTGGTCACATCTGTGTTAATTAACTGGTGTTGTTACCCTCGTTTTCTCCTCTTTATGCAACACCATGGGATCCTTTACCCACCCTGACGTGAAGAGCCGGTGGGCTTCTGTGCTGTTAAATGCTTTGAGAGACTCTCCAGAATAGGGAGAGGGGCTGAGTATGAGATGAATATAAACATCAGGAAAACACAAATTTGGTATCTTTCCGCCAGTTTAAGTGGCACCAGGAGTTCAGGGGAAACTGTATAAGGATCACAGCCTGTTTTATCGACTTTGTCAAGCTGACGTTTGGTTCTCTTCCAGAGTAAGGTCATCTCTAGTTACGTTCATGTGGAGCAGTGAAACCAGAAATTCAGTCCCAAATATGGCAGCCACAACAGAAATATCACATGACTGAAACCCCAGGATACATTCCATTCCATTCAGAACCACATTACTCCAAGATTGTCCACAGTAGCCTGATTTTTGTTCCATCCTAATGAGGCAGCCATCTAGTGTGGCTATCAGGCTCTTCATGTCGTGATTCAGGTGTATTAGAGCAGCTTGAACACCAAACTGGGTGGTTCATGGTGTCTTCAGGACAGGAGAGCCCACTGATTTTAGCTGTTAAGGTTAGACTTGTCCTCTAGTCTTGGTGTGATCTTGATGCATGTTATGACTGGTTTCATAGAGAATTAGCTGAGGCTCAGTGTTATAATATATTCACCTGTTTAATTGGTGCTATAATTATTTGGACGTTAAATCAAATGCTGAGAAATAAGCTACATGGTTCTCAAAATGTATCAAGGAGAGAAAAAGAGTCTTGGAGAATCCTGAGAGATGTAGTTTTGATTTTGAGTTTTTTGTCTTCGTTGGAATTCAAATAAAATGTTCTTTTGTTCCTCGTGCACTGCTGCCCTGGGCTTTGTTCCCAGTAAAATTAGCTTTTGGAGCTTTGTCTCACTCAGACTGGCACGAGTTTGTGTGAAAGTCTTGTCCTGAAAATTGACTCTGTGTGAAATTCTTATCCTGAATGTCAATCCGCTGCCATGTGTTATTGTTGACTGATATCCAAGCGTATCCTGTGTACATTTGAATATCCAGACCTGTACTGTCCTTTTTAAATTGAGTCATACTAAATCAAACTGAATTGAACTGGGCTGAATTGAATTTGAATCAGTGAAAGTCTGAATTGCTGAATTGAACTCATGCTCCCGTTCCTCCTGTGTGTGTGCAGGCTCTGCGAGCGGTAACCTGCTCGCTCAGGAGGCGGTGAGGAAACAGCCCACTTTCCGTAAGCCAGTGGTGGTCAAGACCCCAGAACATCTCTCCAGTAAGAGTCAATCGCCTTCCTCATTCGCTCATAGATCCACTGACCTCAAACTATGTCTTTACAGCTTCATCACCAGCTTAGCTTTATGAATTCAAATGCACAAAGACTAACATCCATCATCAAATGCCAACAACCATTCTCCAACACCAACATGCACCAAAACAACTAACATTCTCCACCAAACATGACCATTCTCCACCAAACACCACCATTCTCCACCAAACTCCAACATTCTCTACCTAAACTTCAACATTCTCCACCAAACACGACCATTCTCCATCAAACTCCAACATTCTCCATCAAACTCCAACGTTCTCCACTAAACTCCAACATTTATTACCAAACACCACCGTTCTCCACCAAACACCACCATTCCCCACCTAAACTCCAACATTCTCCACCAAACTCCAACATTCTCCACCAAACACCAACATTCTCCACCAAACACCACCATTCTCCACCTAAACTCCAACATTCTCCACCAAACTCCAACATTCTCCACTCAAACTCCAACATTTATTACCGAACACCACCGTTCTCCACCAAACACCATCATTCTCCACTAAACTCCAACATTTATTACCGAACACCACCGTTCTCCACCAAACACCATCATTCTCCACTAAACTCCAACATTTATTACCGAACACCACCGTTCTCCACCAAACACCATCATTCTCCACTAAACTCCAACATTCTCCACTAAACTCCAACATTCTCCCCCAAACTCCAACATTCTCCACCAAACCCCATGGTGTTATTCATGTCTGTGTGTCTTTTGTTTAACTGTTAACCCCGATTTAAGTGTTGCTTGTAGTTATCATTTTAAATCTAAGGCCCAATCCCATTTCACCCCTCGCCCCTACCACTTAGCCCTACTCCTCAGTTTTGCGTGTTCACTCCTAGGGGTAGGGTGTCCCGATTCTTGTTGAGAAAGAGGGGGAGGGTGAAGTGTTGGGGCTACATGGCCCTCCAAACGGAGGTTTTTCAGAGACTCCAAACAGAGAGTTATGAGAAAAAAAGAAAAACTGGCAAGACGGCTGAACAAGAGACCAAAGAAACCCACAAACGTGAGAATTTTCGATATATATATTATGATAATCACTGTATTATCTTAGTGTTGTGTTGTTTTAATGTATTATGGTTGTTTTCTTCATAACAAGCATAAAACATTGCTCATAGTATGCTAATGTCTCAGTAGCTAGCTAGCTAAATTTCCTGTTCCACCTTAAATAGTCCAGCAGTTCTGACTCCTGAAGTGCCAGAATGTAACTGCTGCACCATTTAAGGTGGAACGGGAAAATTTTAAAGAGAAGCTGGTGAATATCTGACTTCAGTTTCATATCACTGAAGAATTAGGGGTGGGTGATAATAAATAATTGCCCCCCTCTTTGAAGGCATATGATGCCCTAAATGTAACTAAAGCCCAGCAGTGAGGAGCTGAACTTTACCCTCCTCTGCTGTCACTGCAGACTGGCAGGGTCGCCTACAGAGCAGCGCTAGTAGCTGTTAATGAAGTGATGCTCTTTTTATTTGAGGGTCCCATTTCAGAGGGAAGATTTCAACCACTACAACTTGTAACTTGGTTCCAAGGGGCAAGGAGACACTTGAAAACAAGCGGTAGGGGTAAAAATAAGAAATGGGATTGGGCCTATCACCAGTGCACACCCACAGACGAACTGTGCAAAACACAACACTGCTCCTCCCGACTGCAGATGGAGGTTCGCAGGTCATTTTGGTGGCGTTTTTCAGTTGATTTCTTGCATTTTTCTCCCTTATAAGCAACAACCTGACATTAAGTGGTGTCATATGCAAACAGGCTATTGTGGAATCACCTTGTGTAGGTCACAGTGAGAGTTATTGATCAGCTTGATTAGGAAAGGAACTGTTCACTTATCTACATCCTGTTACCCTATTCTGAGTGTCTTTCTTTATCTCTCCGTGTCTCAGGCTGCCTGAATTGCAGTCGTATCACAGCTCTCACCGATCGGCTCAGCTCTCTGGAGGCAAAGGTAACGTCTGTCTCACCTTGGCTGTTTTTACGTTATCACACCTTCTGGCATTCTGTTCTCACACACGTCAGATCAGCGGTTCCAACATGTTTCCTTCAGCACAACTTTCTTGATCAATGCTTGTTTTCTTCTCTCCCTCTCTTTTCCGCCATCTCTTCCTCTCCCTCGACCCCTTCCTCTCACCTGCTTTCTTTCTCTGGCTCCTGTCTGTTTCTTTCTCTTTCTTTTACCTCAGTTAAGATTAAATCAAGATATCTTTATTGATATGATTGTATTGACTGGTATTGAATAGTTTTTTGCTCAGTAATAAAAACACATTTAAATAATCTCTCATTTAAGCAAAAAGCAAATAAACAAATTCTAAAATAAAAATAAATAATAACAATAAAGCCCCGTTCGTTATTGTGCAAAGAGCCAAATAAGGAAAAACAAATGTAATGGAACCGGATTTATTTCAGTTATTTTGACAAGTCCTATTGGTCCATTCATTGTGAAATGTTGACACAATGTAAATGATAGAACAGAGAGCCCAACGAGTGTAAAACCCGACTTTGAGTTCTGTGCCATAATCTCCAATTACTTGTACAAACTTTGTGTGTGATGTATTTCTATCTTTCTCAGGTCCAGCTCCTCTCTTCTCCAGCCTCGCAAAGACTGTCCCAGTCTAAAGGTGGAGAAGAACCTGATTCCTCCTCCCTCATGGGGGCTCCACCTGCTCGAGGAGCTCCTGGAGCACAGGGCCCTGCAGGTACAGCTCACTCTCTTTCTGTCTCAGTGTACCGGTACTGTATACTGCACACTGCACCAGTGTATACTATTTACCGCACACTGTAACAGTACTGTATACTGCACACTGTACTGCGCGCTGTACCACTATATAGTGTATACTGTGCACTGTACCACTATATACTGTATACTCCATACTATACCAGTAAATACTGCACTGCACACTGTGAAAGTACTGTATGCTGCACACTGTACCAGTATATACTGTACACTGCACACTGTACCAGTATAAACTGTATACCAGACATTGTAACAGTACTGTATACTGCACACTGTACCAGTATATACTGTACACTGTACACTGCACACTGTTAACAGTACTGTGCACTGCACACTGTAACAATACTGTATACTGCACACTGTACCAGGACTTTATGCTATATATTGCACACTGTATCTGTATACTACATGCTGCACAAGTATATACCATATTCTACACACTGCACCAGTACTGTATACTACACACTACATACTATTATTGTACACTGCATAATGCACACTGTACCGGTATATACTGTATACAGCACACTGTACCAATCCAGCATACTGCACACTGTACCAATAAATACTTTATACTGCATACTACATCAGTACGGTGTACTGCACACTGTACCTGTACTATATACAGTGTACTGCACACTGTACCAATATACACTGTATACTACATACTATACCAGTATATACTGTACATTGCACGCTGCACCAATATACACTCTATACTACATACTGTACCAGTATAAATGTATATTACACACTGTACCCAATATACACTGTATACTACATACTGCACCAGTATATAGTGTACTACCAATATACACTCTATACTACATACTGTATCAGTATAAATGCATATTACACACTGTATACTACATACTGTACCAATATATACTGTGTACTGCATACTGTACCAATATACACTGTATACTGCATACTGTACCAGTATATACTGTATACTGCACACTGTACCAAAATACACTGTATACTACATACTGCAGTATAGAATGTACTAACATTATACACTGTATACTACATACTGTACCAGTATATACTGTATACTGCACACTGTACCAATGTACACTGTATACTACATACTGCAGTATATAGTGTACTAACATTATACACTGTATACCACATACTGTACCAGTATACTGTATACTGCACACTGTACTTGCTACTTGCACTGCTACTAGCTACTTTTGGGCAAAGTCAACCAGTCAGTGTGTAGTGGCTGTCTTCAATCATAGTTTGTACACTGCCTTTGTGGGATCGTAATAGTGCACTGCATGTTCTCCAGTAGGTTTTCATACAACACTTCCAAGTGGCAGATTCCCAAAGTAGTGAAATATCGCACTGTGTAGTGAACAGGGTGTAGTTTCACACATAGCCCTGCAGTTTTCTGCCTAGTGCTTTAACTTTGCTTGGACATGTGTAGTTTGCCTGAATAGACAGTATTTCTTTTCTGTCAGCCTCTCTCTCTCTCTCTCTCTCTCTCTCTCTCTCTCTCTCTCTCTCACCTCCCTCTGGTCTGGACCCAAGCCCGTGCTTGGCTACAGCCAAACTAGCATTTTTTTTGCCGTGTTTTCAGTTGGCCTTTTCATCACTGTATCCTTTTACAGCCAATTACATTCTCCCCTTCATTAGCCAATAGCTTTGCGGAGCTAATCCTATTGCTGGTGCCCATTGTGATGAGCCGGGAAACACACCCACAGGCCTGTTTATCTTTACACACAGATGCTGGGGGGTTTTGGGGGGGGCATGAGGAGAGAAGATTAGTAGAAATTGAAGCTGGGTTTGTGTGCATGTGTGGGTGGGTGGGCTGTTTCTGTTTGAGGAGATTGTTATAGTAGCACCGCACTCAGCGAAATAAGAACATCAAAACTTGCCCAGTTTTCAGCAAAGCCCCCGTCACAATGCACCGTCCCCCCGTCCCTGCGCGATTTGTCTCCGTGACCTAGAACAGCGCTCCCATAATGCAGCGTTTTCACCCAAATACGCCTACATACTGCACAGAAATCACCAGCAAACCCAGAATAGCTTTAGGACGTCGAGAGCTTGTCCCAAACAGGAAAAAAGAACCCGATGAAAAATATAAGGCCTCTTCACACGGGACCCCTAGTGGCATAGACACCTGCATCCACACAGAAGTCTTTAAAGAGACGCTGCAGCCAAAAAGAAAAATGTTACCATCTGTTGTGAACATGCCTACTCGCATCCTACCATGGTGCCACAGTCTCAAGAGTGAGCCTTTCCAGATTAAAGATTAGGAAAACAATCCTTTGATGATGTGTCTTAGAGGTAGGACGAACTGCTTTGGGGTGGGTTTTTAGGGTGAAGCTACAGAAGGAAGCTGCTAGGATGCAAAATATCACATCCGTAGTGATTTTCTTCTACATTTGTGGTACATTAACAAATTGCATTTATGTTGATTTTTCTTTGTCAGTTTCTACTATGAATTATTCCCTACAGCTGCTATGAATTAATCCGTGTCTGCAAATAATTAGTCAGGCTCTTCTATGAATTATTCAGCAACTACTATGAATTATTCAGTAACTATGATTAAATATTCATTAACTGGTATGGATTATTCAGTAACTACTATGAATTATTCAGTATCTACTGTGAATTATTTATTAACTACGATGAATTATTCAGTAATTAGTTATTTAGTAGCTACTGTGAATTATTGAATAACTTGTATAAATTATTAATTTAGTATCTGCTATGAATTATTCAGAACATTGTATGAACTATTAAGTATCTACTATTAATTATTCCATAACTGGTACGAATTATTCAGTAACTACTATTAATTATTCAGTAACTGGTATGAAACTAATATGTGCGTGAGGTATTGAAGTGTGGACCCACACACAGACCCTTAGGGCCAGTTTTCCAGACCCAGATTAAGCCTAAACCTGGACTAAATGATATTTAATGGTGAAACATCACTGATGTGGCAGTGTAATCCAAGATGAGGCTGAATCCTTGTCCATGAAATCAGCCTTTGAAGATTAAGGGGTTAATCTGAAAGTGACTCCCCAAAACACAAGAGATCGTTTCTCAATTCACAGCAATGGGTGAAAGGGTGGGGTATGTTGTGATTATGGGTGGTCTTCTGCAGATGAGGGAATTCCGATGGCTCATGTATGTCGGCCTGTCCGCTGGCCCATTACTGATGACCTCATCAAGCTTAGATGAACCCCTCTGAGCAGCAGAGAAGCTGCCCACTGTTCAAAGAAATGCCATTGACTTGGGGGTTAAAACCCTCCGCATGAGAATTCCCATTGACGTCAATGACGGAAAGCTTGGGCCACTGAAGTGTGAAGGGAGTTCACGTTCATGTGTTTGCGTGTTCTAAATGGTAGTTTATGACACAAACAGAATAAAAGTCTTTTTTTACTGTGCATCTGTATCAGTGTCCTGTTCCTCAGTCCACTCTCTGTGTCTCTCCTAGGTCCACAGGGTGAGAGAGGCATGGACGGCATACCCGGCAAAGACGGTGAGTCCTCCACTGAGTTTATAGGGTGTAATAGTGTCCATACGTATCCAGACAGTCCTTCTAATGAGTGAATTCAACTACTTTAAGGTGTTGCTGTTCAACTGTGCACACACAGCTTGTTTAATTTCGATAAAAAAGTATTGACCAATAGAACGGGACACTCTGGGGAAGCTGCACATGAGCCTAAAGTCGTAATGTCCAATGCCAAGCATGGGCTAGAGGGGTGTAAAGCCCCTTAGCATTGGGCTGTGAAGCAGCACGTTCTCTGGAGTGATGGAGCTCCATCCAGTACCTTTGGGATGAGTTGGAGATCCAGAACTGACCATCCAACATCAGTACCTGACCTCACTAATGCTCAATCAAACCCTCACAGCAATGTTCAGCATCTAGTCTAAAGCCTTCCCAGAAGAGTAGAGGCTGTTCTGCAGCAAACACCTCATTAATCCTCTTCATTTCAGAAGAAATGCTGGATGAGCAGGTGTCTACAAACTTTTGGACAAATAAGAATACATGTGAAAATAAAATTTTGTTGTGCTGCTGTGAGTGAATGGCTAGACTTCTTCTCTCTCCCTGTTTAGTGAGTTAAAGACACACCGTGAGTTTTTACTGCTAATATTTTATTGAGGAACAGAACAGCATAACCTATTTTTATCAGAACATACTTAAACAGGAATTTGCGATTGAAAAAACTGTGTATTTTTATAACCATCATTATCATCATCATATTAGACTGTAGTCTGATTATTCACTCTTTCAGATTACTTTATATGTAGTCCATGTCATGTTATTTGCATTAACAGGCTATGGTTTTCTCTACAGGTAAACCTGGGTCTCGGGGTCTGCCTGGGCCAAAGGGGGATGCAGGCTTGAGAGGACCCTCAGGTGCCCCAGGGTCTAGAGGAACACCTGGACCAGCAGGTAGGCTGAGGAACATCTCACGAAGAGCTCCACCAAATATATGATTACTCTAATTAGCAGAAGAGTGTTTGTTCTAACTTTAGATATTCTTGGACTTTACTTCCTCAGTTCCTCTCTCTTCATCATTCAAAGTTTTATTTGGAACAAGCATTTTCACTTGGTGGTGACAAAACAATAGAAGCCATATCGCCCCCTACACTTCCTGTAGTGTACTGCAGTGTGTCGGAATGACTGGGAATAGTACCACACTGAGGGGGTTCGTATCATTAGTGCTGGGTCATAAGGGTTAAGGCAATAGTTTGAGGTCATTTATGCATTTTTTCTTCAGGCCAAATTTAGTCGATCAGCCAAGACCATGTTTTATGTCTGAAGTTTGCTTCTTTGACTTTGCACTGGAGCTGCAAGGCTAATGTACCTAACTAGTCACTTAGGCTTCTGTTAGATTAGCATCGTAGCTACAGTGCAAAGCTAAAGAAGCAAACTTAAGATGTTAAACATGTCTTGGCTGAATTGCGGTAAATTAGTGCAGTCGATCAGCAAAGACTTGTTCGGTGTCCAGATTTTGCTTCTTTAGTTTAGAATGGGAGCTATGGAGAACGGTGTTAACATACACTAGAAATCAATAGTCACCCAAACCGTTTCCATAAAAACACGACCAAAACTTCTCTCAACCTGCTCGAACTGCTTCTAGGTCTTAATTCTGACCGAGTTAGAGGGTCTCCGCTCCTCATTTTTGTAGGTTTATCATTATTTGCTTAGTGACCTTTTACAACACACTCCTGCACTGCTGCCTCTCAGAGTTTGAAGGCAGAATAGTCCTGGAAGACGGGACATTATGTGAATGGTAATATAATTCCAATTTTAGCTTAACCCTCTGGGGTCTGAGGTCATTTTCACGATTTGTTCATCTCTTCTTAAACTCTCCTTTAAAGGCTCTTCATACAACATGATCCTCATATGTTTCATATCTAAATGCTCCGTTATCTTCATCACTACTTTCCAAAACCAGCAACTTCAGCAGCTGTAAACTCTCTGCACGCCATTTCACATGAGTCTCCGATGTGGACCGAATGAAGAATGAAGGGTTTCCGGCGTGATGGTCAGTCCTTAGTGATTTCCTGAGTGTCCATTGGTCAGTTTCACACAGAATGTAGACAGAGTCCACCCGTTCCACAGGGTGAGAGGCAGATGATTTGTATCTCAGCCCCTCTTCATAGGCTCATAACTGTGTGGATGTGAGTCTCGTATGATCTCGTGATAAGATGGAATGGAAAGGGCGACTCTACAGATTCAGGAAGTGTTTGAACTGGATTTCTGTGCTGGATCATCACAAAGATACACAAACAGATATAAAAACATCGAATTTGACACACGGACAGGTTTGTGGACCCCATAGGCTTAAATATCTAAAAAGTTCTATCCATAGCAATTCATTTAATAGTATTTTTTAAAACCAACCAAGTTACCAACTTATTTTGAAGCAAATATGTGAAGATTTTGTGAAAATTGTTTACCACAAATTTAAAGATTTTGTGGAAATGGTTTGGGTGACTATTGACTTCCAGTGTTTGTTAGCACCATTAGCCTGGCAGTTGCAGTTCTAAACTCAAATTTAGACATCAAACATGTCCTGGCTGACTGACTGCATTTGGGATAGGAGGAAAATCATATTTTGAATAGATTTTTGCTAAACTGTTCCTTCAATGCTGCTTTCAGTTCACTCAGTGCTTCCCGATGGTTTTCAATCTCAGTTGCGCTGCTAAAGGTGAGAAAAAGTGTTTGGTCCAGTTGTGAGCAAGTCACTACAGAACCAGCCGTTCTCATGCCTCCATGGCGGAGAACTTCTCAGATAAACAGAGGTCCGCAGGGCAGGACGTGTCACTTCCTGTCTGCATAGCTGATGTATTACAGCAGTTGCCCAGAAGGCCTTGTGATCGCGATTATGGCAGCCGAGACTGTATTTAAGTCGGGATTTTATTTCAGTCGGTTTTCTGGTGCAGCTTCTCTCTGCCACAGTGTGATAGGGATGGTAAAAGTATTTCTGACTCTGTGTGTTCCCCTAATAACAGCCTGCTCCTTTTGCGGACAGCATAGCAATAACTTACAGGAATGCAGCTTTCACCGGGCTGACTCTTCCACCGTCAGCGGCACCAAACAGAGAAAACGCTGACTCGGTACAAAAAGCAGGCTGCCAAAATATTTGTCCTTAAGCTGAGAGAAAACCTCCCTTTTTATCCCCAGCATGGAGCCCTGATCTTCATTCGCTGACCAACAGCTTTATGTCATCCAGAACACTGGAATGAAACATAAATCTGCTCAAAGAGCAGAGAAACCTCATAAAAGAAACGCTCACCATCATCACAGCACCACAGCACCACAGCACATCTCTATAAGATGGAAAACCTAATTGTTAGTTGTTTTTTTTTTACTTGCAGAAACAATGCATGTGTGCTAAAGTGCATATTGTAACCACAAAAGCACATTTCAGTCATGTTGCTAATCATATAAAGCACAATTTATATCATATCATATCTTTTAAAAGATTACATTCTTGTTTTCTTGCAGTTTTTTCTCACAGAAGTAGTCCCCTATGTGTGGTTGAGTCAGTACCTAATTATGTTGGTGGTTAATGTAACATGCAAGGCCTTCAGTTCAGCTCCTGAAGTCCCTAGCCAATGGGAGAGCTCGCTTGGCTGGATCTACCTAGACAGCATGATTCTATTCAATAAAAATGACATTCATATTTTATTACACAGAAACCGGTACTTTGAAGGTCCAGGTCAACCCAAATGTTAAGGAGAACCGTTTTGTCCTTTCAGCAAAAATCAAACCACTTTGGGAGCCAAAACATTTTAGGTCCATTTTACCGTCTTGGCTGTAAATATGTCTCAGTATGTGCTGATGTACCAGTATAGAATAAAAAAATAATAATATGAACAAAAACACAGACTTACTTTGCTCTGCTTTAAGCTTTAGCTCAGCTATAGCCACTTTTCTCGCATCTCCAGCAGGAAACTTTTCAGCAAAAGTAAAATAGTTTCTTGTAAAATGTCTCTCAACGTTCGACTTTTTACGAGGCTGAAGCCGCTTCTCATTCTCCAGCTTCTCATTCGAATTTTCCCATTCCACCTTAAATGGTGCCAGAGGCACCAGAATGTGACTGCTGCACTATTTCAGGTGGAACGGGAGAATTCAAACAAGTTGGCGAACGAGAAACTGACTTCAGCTTCACGACTTTTTAGTGTTTAACAGTTTCTTGTTGCAGATTAAACGTATCAGGAAACCAGCTGGAGTTATTATAAACATCCATATAAAGTCCATTCGTCTCCAAATTATCGATGTTCGTCTTAAATCTCTCTCTTTGCCTTTTCGTTAGCTACTAGCTAGGCGAGACCGTTGTCTGCGTTGCTGTGGTGACCAGCAGTCTGCGCTGATCTTCAGGGTTAAAGGGTGAATTAGCAGTTCTACATTAACTCCAGAGTTTAAGACCATTTATTGTTAAACTGTGTTGAACGATCAGCAGAGCTTTAATTTTACTGTAAAGGAGGATTATTTTATTTTTACCTACAAATCTAATTCTGCTGTGGAGCCACAACAGGGCAGTAATAGAGCCGCATGCAGCTCTATAGTTGCATGTTACCGACCCCTTGTCTAGAAGGTCTTTAAGGTTCCCCACTGAATTTTAGGACATTACGCAACAACATGATTATAGTCATCATTTTTTTACATTCAGTTTTTGTAAGAATCTTGCAGCTTTTTGAGTTAAAAAATAAGTGCATTTATGTAATTAAACAAGATGAACCATTAACAAGTTACAGCTTTACTTTAAAGCTCCAAAGGAACCCATTCATTTTGGACTTTCTCATGAACACCCTGTATGTAACAATGGGAGCGACGAAGAGGCAGGATGCAAGTGCAAGTCCTTGGTTTTATTAAAAATCTATGACACAAAGGAATCAACAAAGGTGACAAAGCAAAGACTGAACACTCTGAAAAAAGTAATGAAACATAGAAAAAAAACAAAGACATGAATAAAACTAGAAAACAAATGAGAGATAACCAACACAGGGCCTGAGAGAACAAAACACCAAGCAAACACAAAACACATAACCATAAATACAAGTATAAATAAACATGGAACATGCCACAAACACCCATGACTAATGAGAGGGCGGAGCTACAGACAACAGACAGGTGAGACGGATCACAAGAAGGGAGGAGACAAAGACCAAAACAACAAAAGCACTGACATAAGGAAAACAAGACAGGATGTTACACTGTACACTTCAGAAATGATATCTTAGTAAGTGTAAACATCTTAAATATTGTCAATATGTCTAATATTTCTCATTATGATGTTGTTGTAATAACATGAGAAGATTATTCAACTTATTTCTCATTTTTGTACTTGATTTAAGTCATTTTAAACAGTGAAAGCGTCTTGTTTCATTGGCAGGTAAAGTTACCCTTTATTAATCCCTCAACAGGGAAATTCACCTCCACATTTAACCCATCCGTGCAGTGAAACACCACATACACACTAGTGAACACTCACACTAGGGGGCAGTGAGCACACTTGCCTGGAACGGTGGGCAGCCCTATCCACGGCGCCTGGGGAGCAGTTGGGGGTTAGGTGTCTTGCTCAAGGGCACCTCAGTCACGTACTGTCGGCTCAGGGGTTCGAAACAAGAACCTTCTGGTCACAAGGCTGGTTCCCTAACCTCCAGCCCACGACTGCCCCCAAGTTACATTTTTAAAATTATCTAGAACTAAGCTAAAAAATCTTATAATATACTTAGAATGATGTCATAATGAGAAGAAATGTTAGATAGACTGACCAGATCTCTCGCTAAGATATAGATATGCAGTTTTTATGAAGATTCTGACATTGACAATGTTTTATTATTTGGGGTTTGTTCTTAGGTAAGAACAGAATCTACACACACTCAAGTTCACAGAGGTGAGAACAGTTCTGCGCTTCAAGAACACGTCATGAATCT